ATTTTATTCAAAATATATCTTCCTTTTCCTATGTATTTTTCGTGTCTCCTCCTCTATCTTTTAAATGCTTTTTTAACTGAGATGGGGACATACTACATTAGATCTCCAAAAGGTCCTTTGGAGCATAGTCTACAGGGAGAACTCAACAAGGCAAGATGTTGGTAGCAGCAGCATGCCTGAAGCTCTGTCCCTGAAGTCCTGAAGATGACTGAACCTCATCTGTACATATGCATGTACAAAGTGGTGGGGCTTCAATTGCACTGCTGTACTGGACAACTTGTCTTTTGGGACACCCCTCTGCCCCCTGTGGATGCCACTGGTGTGCAGAAATATAAATGTTGCCCTTGTTGACCACACCTCATTGTAGGGATGTTGGTGATCTGAATGCAGCAGGAAGCCAGTTGGGGGAATGTGCTCCTGAACATAAGCAGAGTGCTGAAAAAAACATGTGTATGCTGAACCATGCCTTTTCTTGGGCTTCTACAGTAGTCACACAGGCACAGGAGAATGTGCATTTGAATTAAAGCGGCCCAACAGGATTGGCCAGGTCTTTGCATCTCCTTCTTAATGCCTCCTTAACCCAACCTGGTAGACCATTGTACATCCCTACTGTAAAGCAGCTGCATCTTCTTCTGCATGCCCTCTGCAACCATCCTACATTGCAGCAGCTGCTTTAAGAAACTGACCCGTCTGCTCCAAAGCACCTTTTGGAGATTAAATCTGAAGTGCTCCACAGCCCTCTGTTTAATTTGGTCCATCTGAAACTTTTGCCTTTATAACCTGAACTGAGAAAACAGGGGTAGTGGACAAGGAGGAACCAACCCTTTACTCCATCCTATGTCCTTTCTCCCATTTGGGCTTCCCAAGAGATTTTCATTTCTTCGTTTAAGTGAGAAAGCAACGACCTCAATCAGTCCCAGTTGGCCTTCAAGAAATGGGCTAGGCTCTGTCTCCATTTGCAGAAGCTGTGCTGCAATTTTGTCATTTAAACTTTAATGGTGAGATAGAAATCTAGAAATCAGGCTAATAAGCCTGCAGTTTCCTGGTTCTCTCCTTCTTGGCTGTCTTTCAGTCATCTGGAAAAAAGACTAATTTTAGTTGCAAGGTGCCTATTTTGGCTAGAATTACAAGAAATCCACATCAGAGATAAGGACGCTTGAGATGTAAATATTCAACTCCGCAAATATATTTATTAAATAATGTATACCATGTCTGTGGCATGCAGGGGAAGATTCTCACATGGTACCTTCAACTGATTATCATAAAATTGAAATAGAATAAAAAATCAAAATAGATTTAAAACCTAGTAAAAAAGCATAGAAAAAGTTATGCTTTCTTGCATTAAAGCTGTGTGAGCAGCAAATATTGCTGGAGTGATATTTTAGTTTGGATTCAAGTTCAAATTAGTTTGAACCAAACTGATTGACCCAATGCTTAATGATGAAAACATATTTATTAGGATTGTGCCTGCTTCAGAAAAATGATAAGGAAGAGATGTTCTGGAACACATGAGAATGAGAGTGAAGCACCTTTTAAAAGCAGCTGCATCCTTTTTTTTAAAGCTTCTGCACGAGCCTGAAGAAACACACGGCTGCTTTTCAAGTTGGCGCATTAAAGCAGCCACATCTTTAATGCAAATCATTAAAACAAGCATATCTTTTTTTCAGGGCTCACAGGGAAGCCTGAAAAAAATACATTGCTTTAAGGAGTTGCAAATGAATGTTATGTCTCAACTCTCACCCACTCCATAGTATCTTTTCTGAATTACTTCCAAACACTGCACAGGCCTGATTTTCAGTCTTTATTCGACCAAGTAAGCAACCTTCTTATTAGGTTTCTTTCTGACATGACCATTAACTCCAAGCCGTTCATTGTCCATATACTTCAAAATTTTCATCTTGTGGCTTTCCCAAAAATGTCCTTCATGTAAAAAGGCCTACAGAGCAGGGGATTAGATCAAATAAGGTTCCTTATAAAAATAATGCAGCCCTTCCTTCAAGAACAGTACCTTATGATGTAATCTGGTTCACTGTCTGCTACATAGCTTTGACTAGGCAGTCCTTGCCATATATCAAATGGCCTCATTTCCCACTGGTCCTGTGGCTGTTGGGCTCCTCTAACAGAGTGCACAGGTTTACTGCTAACTCTAGTATCTGCTTCAATCTCCTTTGATGACTTTCTCTTCCAATTTATGGGTGTGTACCAAGCCACGGCCTAGAAAGAGACAGAAAAACTATGAACAGCACATTTTTCTAGGGATGCCAAGCTGCTCCTTGGAAGACATACTTTTTTATCTCTAAGGCAGGAGAAAAGGAAAAAAGGGACAAGAGTTAATTTGGCGATCCTTTTCCTACCTGGCCCTATTCTCTGGTTGCCTGATCTGAGCTACAAAAAGGCTGGATGACCACAGAGGGCAGTGAAGAGATACAGGGGACTCCAATTCTGATTGCTGTTTCTCATTGGTGCCATCTAGTGGTTGCTCAGACATCTGCAGTCAGATCTGGCAGTTCTAGATAAAGTGGATTGAAAGCATATCATGCAAGAAGCAGCAAGATAAATAGTAGCACCAGAAAATTGAGGTATTTGTGATGGGAGTGAAAGAGCAGTTTAGTGCCCTGCATTGAAATAATCTTGAATCATAAAATTCCTCTCCTCCCGAAAACTTGGAAAACATCAGAAAAAATTAAGAAAAAAAAACCAGTGAAAAACAAAATACTTAAATACCATTATAATTCTCACCAAACTTCCTTGAAACATTTGTTCCAGGATCATAACATGTTTAAGGATGTAAGCTTTGTTAGCTTCCTGATTTATTCACATTTACTTACAAATCTACCTTCAAGCTCTGTAAAATAGCCAAGTTTTAATGGCTTTCCAAACAACCTCAAAATTTGAGAGCCAATTATCTTGGCAAGGATGCTTTCAGAGAAAGCACCTAACCAATCCCCAGGGCTGTATGCTGGTTTAGGAAGTTGAAGAAAAAAGTCTTAGAAGAAGGGAATGGAAAACAGCTTCCATACTGTTGCCAAGTAAATGGCACGGAGATGTCCTTATAGTGAAGAAGAATTCTGCTCTTCATAAAGAAGACTTTTTCAGGGAGGTCAAAGAACTGCTCTCACAGGGATCTGTGAGGGAAAGCATGGGACAAAATATGCACCAGGATGCAACCCCACGACTTATCTGCTTGCATCCAATGTTGAGATGCAAGTATGCAAGAGCAGGATTTGGGTCTTGACATCATCTTGTGGGTGTCATCATATTGACACAATCTCACTGATGCTTGTGACTGCTCTGATATATCTAATTTACAAGAAACACAACACAAATTTAACATATTCTAAATTCAGGGTTTAAAATAAAAGAATTGCATGTCATTTAAGTCAGTGTTTCTCAAGCTCAGCAACTTTAAAATGTATGGACTATGCTGGCTGGGGAATTCTGGGAGTTGAAGTCCATATATTTTAAAGTTGCTGAGCTTGAGAAACGCTGATTTAGATATATGCTATGTTCAGGGATCCAAAAGAATTTTCCTTGCTTGGAACAACAGGTAGAGTGGCTCTAATTTTCAGTTCCTCTTTCACACCAAGCAGTCACTATCGGTGGACACTTTCATTTCACAGAATGGCCAAACCCTTCTCTCTCTCTCTCTCTCTCCCTCTCCGCTTTTAAGCATACAGTGAACATCTGGCTTTTGCTGGATTTATTTAGTGGATTTTCTACCTGCTTCTCACAGTTTTTAATTGTGCTTTCCTATATTGATTGTATGTCTGTTTTGGTTTCCAATTATCTTGTAAATTGCTTTGAGTGCTCTTTAAGCAGGGATGTTGGATAAAAATGTTGTAAATATTTATTTAGTAAACCTAATTCGACACTGCCAGAATCAAAATGACTTTGGGCGGCTTAGATAAAAAGTACGATATAAAACATATCCAATACAAACAGGAAAATACAATATACAATGTAGCATATAGCTCTAGAATGATATAAAGAAGATAGAATACAAAGATGGCAACAGCAAATCAAATCAGATCAAATCAGGGGAACACTCTCCAAAACAGCATAGCCTTCAAGTGCTTTTGAAAGAAAGATGGGTTGACTTTACCTAGCAGCTTCTCCTCATCTGGCTTTGAACATCAACTTACAGAATGCGTGATCGTGACATGAAGCCGTATCTAGGGCCGCCCTTAGTTAAATTCACTGGTTCAGTACAGATGACAAGACAGTTTGCTGGTTAACAGTCTTTTTGACTGGAAGACCAAGTACTTTTGTGGTGGCTCTCCAGGCAATACTTCCTTTTCTTTTAGTTTTGTAAATAATAAAGTAATAATAATAAGGATGTGAAGCCCTTCAGTTTTGAAAGCCAAAAAAAAAAAGGAGTTGAAAAACACAGGAGAAAGTGCATAGGTACTTGAACCAAACATATCTTCTTCAAGGATTATGTAGCAGCTGAGGAAGACAACCACACAATCCTGGGAAAAGTTGCAACTACTTAAAAAAGTTGTAGACAAGTACAACCTGAGTGACTGTGTGTGCTCTGAAACACTTTTTGCCGTTGATCTGAGGCACTGGACAACCTTATATCATCATCATCATCATCATCATCATCATCATCATCATCATCATCATCACCCACATCCAGAACAATCACCACAGCCCCACAGCTCACTGGGGTTGAAATAGTAAGGGAATCATGCTCCCGGCCCTGTGGTGTCCTTGTTTTCCCTTGTCACGCTTGTGAGGAGTGAAAATAACAAGTGGAGCAGAAAAGAAATGGGAAAACCAGTTTCTGCAGCAGCTCCAGGATTACATAGTAAATATGAGGTGAGTCACACTTACTATACCAAAAACCAGAAGGGGGAACGTGAACTGGTTACCTGTCCAGAAGGATTGCAAAGAATAGTGGTGCACTCAGGGCCTGATTGGAACTTGTCCAGCTCCTTCCAGAGATAGTCTGTGGGAGGCTTATGATGCATTTTAGAATCCATGGACCATACCTGCAATAACAAAACCAGGAGCAGTTAAGCATCACATAGATGCCCTTCCTGAGTTTTTCCACAGTAATAGCAGACATAACCTTCAAGCAGCTGAGCTTCTTCTCCAGTGGGCACTGTATGGGGACATTCTGTGTACTTCAAATCTTGCATCTCAAACTGGCAGGGGCCTCCCCAGGGAAGTAAAAAAAAAAGTCAGGTTTCTGGTCATGGCCATGTTGGAGCCTTGCCTGCTTTTTACATGTATCTCACACACCACAAAGAGTAAAAAAAAAAAGAGTGGGATTTTGAAGTTGTGGCTGCCACCGTGACTTTTTTTGATACCCTCCCAGTGGACACCTTTGTGTTAAAGGAAGAGGTGAAGGAACAAAAATGAGAACAGGCATATCTTGACAGCATATTTATTATTCCATTCCACCAGCTTGAGAGCTTTGTATTCCAGCAGTACACTGTATCATTTTTATATTTCACTTACTGTCACAACGGAGTTCGGCTTCATTCGGATGTTTGGGGGGAATTTAAAAATGGCTGCTGGGTGGCCATGAACATTCTGCTGAAGAATATGATCTCCAATGCTTTCTTCTTTATCAGGAGAATTATTAATTATCTTCACATAATGGCCCCATAAATCAACTTCAGTAATTTTAAGGTTCCCAACACTACTAAAAAAACCAAAACAAAACTAGATTAGAAAACCCAGTCTTATTAGGATTATCAGTGTATCAAAAAGGAGAGTCTGTTTTTGCAAAGTTTCGTTCCTTGTGTCTCCTCTATTACCCAGGAAACACCACCCAAAAGCAGGGTGAAGCATTTTCTGGTACCTCGTTCCATTACAAGGTCACTAAGAACCAGTACAATAAAACTTTTTCAAAAAGGGAGGGGGAGTCTGTTAAACCTGAATGTTTGTTAAATCCAAACCAATCCATTGGCATCATTTGTATCAACTTATATCATTTGTGTAATTACATTATTGATGTAAATCGTGTCATAAGGCCTTAACTTAACAACCTGTATGGGCTTTGTAGCTAAAGTCCATTAAATCAAGTTCTGTTAATCCAAGGGTTTATTGGAGGGGTGTCCAAAAAGTAAAGATGGTGGCATGCATATAAAAAAGGAGCAGGGTTTTGGTTACAAGGTCATGGCTCCCATCTTGACTTTTTAATTCCCCCACCATCTACAACTTCCCTGGGGTTCACTGTTCTATTTCTTTTCACCCTGGGTTCACAATCTCAAGGCAGTACAATCAACCCTTTGTCTGTAATTTGTAACCAGAATGCACCAGAGTAGCTTGTAATAGTTGGCGCAAGGTTGGATGAAGCATAAATGGTTTCCAGTCTTACAGGCCTCCATTGCTAAATAAGATTGAAATTGGAACCAATGCTCACAATTCAGTATCAATCCAATCTGTTTCGCTAGCTGAATTTTTAAATGAACTCTTAAAAATCAGCAAAATTGCATCCATTTTCATTTATAGCTTGTACTTTTTTAATGTGAATTCCCTGACAAGCCTTCTTCTGTTTTCACATACAATTCTCTGGTGTACTTTTTTTTTTACGAGCATTTCTCTGATGCAGCATTTTTTTAATGTACGTATCCCAAATGTAAGGTTTTTTTTTTGTTAAAAAAATCTGTCCTTGATCTATGCTATTTTTCAGAAGCATCAGTGTGTATGTGTATGTGTACATGTGTGTGTATTTTTTATTGAAAAAAAGCTAAATACTAGTGGACAACATTAAGTACAGCCATCAGAACCATGGAGGATTTTTCATCACAGACTTTGCAAATTCATTCCCATAGTGCTTCATGGTGGATTGCCTTTACATCTCTGTTCTGGCAAGCTGATTTCTTCTTTTGCATAACATATTCCATTTCATTCCTTACGGGTTAAATTAAGATACACAATCAACCAAAAAGTTCTCGTTGCAAATAACTCTTCAAACCTTGAAGGTGACCTCCATCCACTTTGGAGCCTGCAAAGCAAAGACCAGGAAAAGCTCTAGATTGGCACCAGCCCTGGAAGATCTTTTAACACCCCCTACACTGCTTTTATTGTTTCTTTTCTACTGGACCCATGACTACTCATATTAATTAATATTAACGTACTCTTTTTAAAAATAAATGACAAACTGTGTCAAAATCACCAAAGTTCTTCCATTTTTCAGCAAAGGGAGTATGGAAGCAATACAACGATCTATAATTTTCAAAGGGGAGAGGAACCATTCAAATGAAGAGGGGAAAAAATTAAAGACATGGGAAGGAAAAAAATGGATTTCTGGAGTCTAATTCAGGTAAGACAGTGCGGTTGATAAGGACTGTCCTGTTGTGTAAAAAGGGATCATTGTAGAAGTGATCCTGGCATTTTGTGGCACTTATCTGTTGGGTTAGAGAACCAGCAAATTATGCTGCAGGATGAGAAGGTGTTGCGAGGCTCTCCAGAGAAGAAAGAATGACTGCATTTGTCTGTTTGTGGACACTTCCAACTATGTTACCTGCACATGCAGGAGAGGAAGTTATCTACATTTCTGAAAAGGTAAGAACTGAAGTTTTTCATTGCTGGATGGAGACGATACTCTTCAATTTTAAACATCATCATTAAATAGAAAAGTCAGGTGCCTCTTTGGATTAAGATGCATTATTTCCAAGAAACATCCAGCTCTTCAAGGTTTTTTTAATACCTCCATTTATGCATTAATAGAGCTTTAAATTACTGGACTATTTCAGTGCTTATTGTATAAGCTTGAGACAGAATTAAAGTAAAAAAAAAAAGAGAAAAATTAATAGAATCAACAATGAAGAGTGGGCTCAGGAAGGAGCTTGAAATGAGTCTTTTCCACAGACCAGAAGCACCTTCCAGAGAACAGGAATAATCACGGAGAAGACCTTTTCCCAAGTCCCTATGAGATAGCTTGTGACACTGAAGTCAAATGGCCTTAGATGGCCTCAGTGAACAGAGATCTCCAAACTTTTCAGGCCAGTGGGCACACAGGGATTTTGAGAGCATGGGGCACTCTTACAAAATATTTGTTCTGATCAGAGACCATGATAAAATATCCATCTACCAGAAAGCAAACAAAGTACCAATTTATTTTCTAAGAATGCTCCAGTATCTCTCTAGAAAACAGGGGATGTTGAGTTTAGTGTGTTATTTTACATGATGCTATTTTTTTTCTTTTTTTCTTAATTAAAATAATTTAATAAGGCACCAAAATTAGGTTGGAAAGGGAAGGAGCTTGGAAGGTCCAAGAAACATGTTGCTTCCAGATGCCATGTTTGGGACTTTGGGCAAGTGGTTGGGAGGATGTAAACAGTATATCCATAGCATTCATTAAAAGCTTTGGCCATCAACTCAGAGAAGATGCTGCTTGCTCGAAGCCAGTGCCTGGAAGACCTTCAGGCAAAGGACTTCCAGGCTGCACTTGCTGTGGGCAACCCATAATGACCCAGCCTTCATGCATGCTGAAAATCTTCCAGAGTGAGCAGTTCTGGCACACATAGTAAGCAATCCTAAAATTGCTTGTCCTAGAAATCACTCTGGCCAACATTAGTCAATAAAAGTCTTCCTTCACAGCAATCACCATAAGTGGTTTGGAGCCACCCAAATTGCTTTGTTGAGTGACCTGGGTAGCCTTTTTGTTTCAATATTGCCTTTATATCACTTCACATGGCTTTCAGTTCTCATCTTTCTTGTGGTGTCTGTTTCCTGACCCAATCTACCTTATAGGGCTGACATATGATCACTGAGGCCAAGATTTTCTTGAAGATTTCCAGCGTGCCAGTCACAATAGACCACACTGCAGCAGTGAAGCTCACAGGTGCTAGTGCATGCACCCTCATTTTAAGGTTCTTTCAACAACCAGTAGCATAACAGAAGGTCAGAATCCAGCCACCCCAACAAGCGCGAGGAAAGCAATGTCCTCCATAGATGCATCAAGGTGTTTAACTTTGTCCAGCTGCCCAGCTATCACAGGCTGCATGAGTGAATGAGAATTAACTTGCCAAGTTTAGAGGAAATTGCTGACTGCCTTGCATTCTTTCTTCCGTTGACCAAACTAATGAATGCTTATACTATCTCTGATAACCACAATAAGTAATTTTTTGGTGAAAAAACAGAAGACAATTTATATGCTCCATGGAACCTTAGAAAGAAAGGGCTATCTGTGTCTAGCTACATTCATTGCCTCTGTATATACCCAAGTTGTATTCTTTTAAAAAAGTTTATGATTATATTTTTTGGGGAACATAGATGCTGTGTGCTTCCCCCCCCCCCAAGAGAAAGAGACAGATGGAGAAACAGCTTAATAAAAAACCTTCCTTTTTACTGGAGAAGTTATGAATGCTTTTGGGTGAGGATTCTTTCACTTCTGGGGGGGGGGGGGGGACAGAAGGGCAAAGCTGGAAAAAGAACTTGCAAACCAAATCCAGAGGGCATTATTAACCTTGTAAAGAGCCGATTCAATTAATTTCTTTTCATTTAACCAGTAGTCAGAGGGCAGTCGGGCAATAATTCCTCAGGGAAGCACAAGATCTAATCTCTTTTGTGCAGATGACAATTGTGTGGTCTGCAAAATACTCTTTCTCTCTGCTGAGTGAAGAAGGGGACTGTGATTCAGAAGCCTCCAGTCCTTCCCTTAAATGCCAGTTGAGTAAGGTAGGTCCACAAAAAAGGATGGATGGGAGTATCTTGGGCTCTGTGGATGCATTCTTTCTTCTCCTTATTGATGCCAGCAACGTACACAACCTTCAAAGTGTATCTTCCTTGAACACAGAGAAGATACCATATTGGAAATGTCTTTGAGTGATTCAGCTCAGAGAAAGAATGGGCATGTTAGAGAGAAACAGCTACTAACTGACCCCAAATAATAGATTCTTCCAAACAAAGATGTAGTTACAAGAACATGGCCACACAAGCCTCCTGTTGAACATGTTCTGACATAACCTGGTCTATGCAATTATAATTCCAGAATTACTCTTCTGCCAGTAGCATTCTATCCAATGAATGGGCCTATGTTGTTATAGAAGCAGCAATGAATCACTGCCATAGCTTCCAGGGTAGTCTGGTCTGTTGTCGAAGGGCAAATGGTTCACTCATCCCACCTCCCAGCTCCCATTGTGAGGATGTGAAGGCATGTCTACAAGAAAGGGAAACAAATGCAGAAGACCCGCCATAGCGGTATGCTCAGAAGATAATGGGAGCATCCCCTTGCTGCAAGCACAGAACTGCTGGCAATTTTATCTCTTTTATTTTTTTAAGAGGGAGAAAAGATGTTTGATTAGGTATGAAAGTGAGGAGTCCGGATAAGGCAAATGAAGACTGGCTGTTACTGGCCATGACAGGCAAGTGCTGGGATGACCAGAACTTCAAGGACCAGTCGTAAGTACCACTTGTTCAGCACCATTGTAATTTGAATGGTCACTGACTGAGTGGTTGTTAAATGAGGACTACCTGTAGAGACAAAGCTTTTCACGTAGGAAACAGACCTCAAATGCACAGATATAATATGGGGGCTACCTGGCTTGGCAATAATAGCTATGAAAAATAATAAGAGTTAGTTACAAATTGAATATGAATCAGAAGTATGATTGCCTGCAAGAAAGCAAATGCAATTATAGACTGCATCAACAGGAGTATAATTTTCAAATCAAAGCTAGTAATCACTCCTTTAATCATTCCTTTTTATTCTGTATAGGTCAGATCCCAGCTGGACCTTAAATCAAGAAACGTTTGTGGGGCTCTAAAGAACAAGGTAAAGAATAATGGTTTTAAGTTACATAAAAGGAGATTCCAGCTGAATGCTACGAAAAATTTCCTAAGTATAGTAGCAGTTCTACAGTGGAACCAGAAGGCTCCCCTTCGTGACTATGGTTCAAACCGGATGGTTTAATTTGAATTTCTGTACTGTGCAGAGGGAATAATCTTGGCCTCTTCTATGATTTTGTGATTAATGTGAAATCTATAATTCATAAAAAATATTGATTATGCACATGCACAAAAAAGATGGGAATGTATTATTAACTTCAAGAGCCTTTTGTAATCATAGCCATTCTGGAATTGGTTACACATGATTTCTGAGGAAACTCATCATCTTTAAGAGTTATAAAATAGTATGGATGGATGCAGATTTTTTTTCCTGCCTTGCAAGAGACTCTGTTTCTCCATGTGTATTCCTCTTCTCCTTAACTGATAAATGTATGAAAATGCTCTCTGCTGTTCTTCGCCTGAAATTAATTAAGACTATCAGATCTGGGCTACAAAAATCTGGAGGACCGTGAGATGGAACCACAGAGGAACAAAATCTCTCTATCCCCATTTTAGTGGCTATCCAGATTTTTGCAATTCAGATTTGGTAACCCTACTTTACCCTCAAAGGATTTTAAATTGAATAGGTATCTAATTCATGTTAAGCCCCCATCCCTCCCAAAACAAAGCTTGGGAGGAACATAAAGCCTGGAGGGCAGAAATCTGAATGCTGAACATTCTCTGCAATTTGTCTCAACCATCCGATCTTCATGGTTTTCCTCTGTATTGCCCCCCGAATCTTGTAGATGAAGTAAATGGAATGACTTATGTTTGTGAAGCAATAGCAGCATTTAGAAAATACCTGGATGATGACGAACTGTAGTATTCGGGTGGAAAATGTGACCATGCTGTTTTCTCCATCAGTTCAGCACTGCTCTTCTTGGTGCCAGCAAATAATGCTTTTGTATAGTCCTGACCCTTTCCAAGTTCTTCGTTGCTAAAGTTAATGCTGTCAGAGCTGGGAAAGTATTGTTTTTGTGGTAGAGTGTTGCTGGTGTTGGGAGTTGCTAAACCCAAACAAGCAAACAAACAAAGGGTCAGGGAATAAAACAAACTTTTTTTTAATACAAGAGAAGCTAATTTTTTGAAATTGTTATGGGAAAAATGGCATGATCTTCACTTTCTTTCGCTGCCATCATTAAAGTGAAATGGATTTTCTGAGCTTCTCTTAAAAGTTATGGCTATAAAGTGAGGCACCTCTGGTAAAGTGAGTATTTTTCTAGTGACATTCAGATTGATTACCTTGTTGGAATTACCTTCAGTAGGTGACCATAATAACCATCAGTGAAACAGCGGTTATTCTGGATGTCTAGAAAATGTATTTTCAACCAGGAGATTTCCCCAAACTTTTTTTCCACCTACAGAATGTACTATTACTGTATATCCTAAGAGAAGTCCTATTTTCCCCACTCCCATTCATACTTTAGTAACAATCAGGGGCTGTATCTGTCTGGGTAATGATTAGGAGATCTATCTGGTGCAGAGCACAATTGGTTATTTTCTTAGAAATTAGCACCCAGAAGAGATCCAGTGTGATTAAGGCACTACATTAGAAACCAGGAGACTGTGAGTTCTAGTCCTCCCTCAGGCATGAAACCAACTGGGTGACCTTGGGCCAGTCACTCTCTCTCAGCCCTGGGAAGGAGGCAATGGCAGACCACTTCTGAAAATGCCACCAAGAAAACTTCAGGGAATAGTCCAGACGGTCGCCAGGATTCACCACTGACTTGAAGGCAAAACAACAACAACAAACAAACAAAAAACCCAGACTCCATCTAGATGTTGGAAGATTTTGAAGAACCACTGGCCAAGATAGGTGAATCTTTTTTCCTCTAAGAACAGTCTGCAATTTGTTGAGTAGTGCTTTGTTTAGCATCAGTATAAGAGTCTGCTGTTGTTCAGTTGTTCATTTGCTTCTGACTCTGTCCTAGTAGACGTCATTTGCTAGGGTTGTCTATCAGTAAGAGTTCCTGAAACTTTTGTAAGATGATCCCAACTTTGTCAGTGATATCTACCAACCTTGTCTTTTTTCAACCTTTTTTTGGATTGTCTCTTATTTTTCCAGTCATCAAGGTCTACTCCAATGACTCTTGCTTCTGCATTATGTGTCTAAAATGTTTTAAGTTTCAGCTTTGTTATTAATGCTCATGAGCAGTCTGGTTTAATTCATCTACGCAGAGCAATTGGTTCTCCTAGTGGTCTTGTGGTTTGCTCAACAGCTTTGTCCAGCACATTTCAAAGGTGTCACATTTTCTTTGTTAAGCCGCCCTGATGGTCTAGTTTTCACAGCCATACATTACAACCAAGACCTTGACAATACAGTATGTATCAATGTGATGCTTTCTGCACTTTAATATTTTGTCTGGATGTGTCATAGTCTTTCTCCTAGGAACACTCTATTTCATGGCTCAGTGACCATCCTTGTGAATTTTTGAGCAGGGAAAGATAGTTTGTTAGAACTTCAACTTTTCTGCCTATTTGCATTGGGTTGACATAATTTTAGGGGTCTTTTTTTCCTTTTTAAATATTGAGTTGCAGATTTGGGTTTTTCTCTTTCACTTTCTTCTTTCACCTTCAACAAAAGGTTCCTTACATCTTCCTCATATCCAGATATCAAAGTGGAATCATCGGCATTTTTGTGCTTGTTGCTGTTTCTCTGAGCAATTTGAATTCCAGCTTCCATTTCTTCTGTTCCAGCATTCCTCACAATATGCTTTACATATCAGTCAAATAAACAAGGTGACAGCATAAAACCTTAGTGAACTCCTTTTCCAATTTTTAACCGTGCAGCTACTCCATATTCTGTTCTAAATGTTACTTACTGGTCATAATATAAATTCTTCAATAGGCAAATAACCCCATATTTAAAAAGCTATTTGCAATCTGTTGTGGTCCATACCATCAGATGCCTTTATCTAATCCATATAGCAAAAGCATTTTAAAAAGATTCTGTTGCTTTTTCCTTAATTCTCTGATTATTAGCAATATGATCTTAGGTGCTCCTGCCTCTTCTGAATCCAGCTGGTAACATAATGCTTACTTCCATGTATTTCTGAAGTTGGGGTAGCAAAATCCTGGGCATTTCCTTACTAGCATGTTAAATAGGTGCACTGGTTAGCCTGAGCACTCTTTACCAATGCCTTTTTACGTTTTTGGAATTAAATTGATCTTTTAATGCCCTCTTTTAAGATTTTAAACATATCTGTTGGTGTTTGATCAATTCTTTCCACTTTGCTGCTAGCATTGTTTTCTAGGCCCCATTTAACCTCTTTCCAGAATGTCTTCATTTAATTCAGTTATCAAAATTTTGTAAGTATCACTGATTTGAGGATGGGGGTGGGTGGGAGTGTGGGGGAGAATTATTCGGTATATTCATGCTATTTCTTTTTTATATCTACTTTCTTCAAGAGACCTTTGTCTTCTTTAACTTTCAACATTCCTAATTTTGCATAAACACTTCCCTTGATTATTTTCTCCCCTTGATTTATTTTCTTAAAGAAGTCTCTTGTTCGTTTCATACTATTGTTATCCCCTGTTCCTTTGCATTGCTTATTTAGATATACCTCCTTGTTCTTCTCTGGAACTCAAAGTTTAATTGGCCAGATTTGTATCTTTTGCTTTTTGCTTTCCACTTTTCTTTAGCTATTATAAGTATCAGCAACTAGTCATTTCAGTTTCTTTTGCTTTTTGCATTATGGATTTTTTTCTTTTTTCTTTTGTTTTCACTTTAAAAAATGCCACAGATTTCAATCCAGAGTTCTTCAGGCACTCTGTTTATTAGATCTAATCCATTTAATCTTCACTGCATAATTCTATTGTATCTCGTTGGTTTGCTGATTTTATTTTATTTTAAAGTTTAAATTGTAATTTTTAAAAGAGGAGTCCATGATGTGAGCTGCAGTCAGCACCAGGTCTTATTATTAATCGAATAAAGCTTCTCCATCTTTGCTTCTGTTGCCAAGCTGATTTCAGTGCTGTTCATCCTGTGACACCCATGGGCAAAATCATTTTTCAAGTTGTGGGAAGGAGGGATTTACTATAAACTTCTAATTTTCTTCACATTCTGTCTCCTGGTTAATTTCTTACACCAAAGTTCAATTTCCCTGTATGTTATAGATGCTATTTTATTTTATTTTATTTTATTTTATTTTATTTTATTTTATTTTAATGGAACTTTAGTATTCCATTATAAGGTCTTTGTGTGTGTGTGTTTATGTCTGTGTGTGTGTGTGTGTGTGTGTGTGTGTATACAAGATGTTGCATGTCATCACAGAACTGTTTTATTTCCATTTCCTCAGTATAAACATGCATCACTGTAATACAGATTAGCTTCTTTTAGATTCAAATGGAGATACCTCTGTCATTTTAGCGGGTTATATCCAGTCACTGACTGACACTATTTTGTTTTTAAGGATAGCTATTTCCTTTCTTCTATGATTTTCTTGTCAGGAATGGATCTGCTGCTCCTGTAAGGTGAAGTGACCAACTCCAATCCATTTCAGTTCACTTATTCCCAGTATTTCAGTGTTCAATCTTTACATTTTTGCTATTTCAACTTCAAGTTTCTTTTGGACTGTGGGTCTGACATTCCGCATACCAATGATAATGAATTTTTGCAATATCAAATTTTCCTTTTGCCCTTGGCTATATGAGCATCTGAACATCCTTCTGGTTTAATCCAGCCACATCAGAAGCACTAGAGGTACCTACACTTGCTTTCTTATTTTTCCCAATGGTTTGTTTACTATCTTCCTACCTGGAGAGCTTATCTTCCAGTATCGTGTTGACATTGTCCATGATCATCCATACGGTTTTCCTCACAGAATACTGCACTGATATGCTACTTCCTTCTCCAGCAAACTGTATTTGAGCGAACCTATTGCCATAATCTGCTTATTATGGGTTATACTTCTGGGAGTATATGCTCCAAACTTCACTGGGATGCACAGGCCCATTCACCGCTAGGAGGCAACAAGCCATGAAGGGGATTCACAGAATACTATTGCCCAATCACACTCATCTTGTATTTTCCATGTGGTTCTTCCACTTTTCTTGGACCAGAGGAAAATATTTATTTATTTCAAAATCAGAAAAGTAGTTCCATAGAAGTGAGGATCATTAGTTTTCAAAAGGTTCTTTTTTAATGAGAGCCATAATGTATCAGGTAAGTGACGTATCAGAGTTCAACATATACTCATTATAAACTTTATGATAGGGATCATTTTATGTTCCTTTTAATGGAGCTTTTAATTAGCGCTATAAAGCTGTCCCAATTTTTTATAGACATTTAATGTTAACCAAAGAGAACACCATAATGTTAGACAAAACCTCTGTGGTTATCATCATTAATCATGTTGGTGACCAGAAAGGTTTTTTAAAAAACAATCTCTATTGCTTTCATAGTAACCTGGTAGCCTATATGGTAGAGGACCCGAGATTGAGGAAGACACATACCATCTATAGGGATGAGAGGGTAATATACATACATACCATACATACACACATACATATATATATATAATATAGGGGAGTTTGAGGGTTCTGTGCAGTATCTTAGCTGTTCTTAGCACTGCACTCTTCTGGACAGAGAGCTCTGATGTTGTTCCTCTGCTGGAGCCATTCTCTCAGCTTAGGAGTCACAGTCCCAAGTGCTCCTACTACCACTAAGACCACTTTGGCCTTTACTTTTCACATCCTCTCTAGGTACTTCTCCAGCTTCTCATAGTCCTTCTTCCTGATGTTGCTGTCACATGGTACCACTACATCTATCATCACTGCTGTCTTCTGGTCCTTGTTTACTACCACGATAGCCAGTACCTGCCTGTCCGTCTGGATCTGGTAGTCCCACAGGATCTTAGTCCTGTTATTCTCCACAACTTTCTGTGGAATCTCCCATCTGGACTTGG